TTTTTTTTTTTTTTTTTTTTTTTTTTTTTTTTTTTTTTTTTTTTTTTTTTTTTATTTTTTAATGTGAATATTTCTTCTCCCCTAGAGGTATCTTCATTCCACACGCACAACTTGTCTTGCAAACCCACGGCGATTATGTTTTGTCTTGACCAATCTACCAAGTTGAGATAAAAGTCGTCCACCAAGTTCGGGGCGCTCAATACTTTGTAGGGCTCCTTGCTGATGCTCCTGCGCTGCTTTGCGTCCCTGCTGCACACCTCCAGGGGGTAGCACATGTACGGGTCGCATCCAAACGGGTCGCTGCAAAATGCGGCGCCGTCAAATGTATCCCCTTCCCCCAGTTTGATCCCCTTCCAGGCGTTTTCGAGCAATATGCTGCCGCGTCCTTCTTCCGCCTCTCTCCCTCCCTGGTGGATTCTACCCATTCGGGGATTCACCCCGCGCGTGATTTTACATCCGTACAGCTTCGTCCCATTCTTGGCGCCATCTCCAATTCGATTGTTCCCCTCACCTCTCCCTTCTCGCACCGGCAGAACAGTCCTTCTTATCGAGTACTCATCAACGCTTGCTCTGAACACACTGTTTCTGCTGAACCGCGTTTTGTACACGTATTGGTATTGTCTTTCTTCCTCGTCCTTCTCTTCAGTTGACTCTCCTCCCACCTCATCTTCGCTCATCCACACATATTTGAAAAAGCTCTTTTCCACATTCCTCCTGGACGTGAAAAAATTTCCTTCCAGATTAGGAAGAAGTCGCGACGCGCGTGAAGTGCGCGATGATAGTGGCGTCTCGAATGCTTCTCCTTTTTTAATGCGCATTGATTTCCACGTGGAGGGGTAGCCAACACCGAGGGCCGCACCCGTGAAGCAGTCCCCCGTGAGGGAGTCGTTCCACTGTGAGTCACTAGAGGAGTCTCCCATTTTGACTGTCCCCCCCCTGTCATTACACATGACGCATGACACATTTACACATTAGACACCTGCGGATGATATACGCCCCTTTGCGAGGTCTTCAATTGGAAACACATATTAAAAAGGCCAAGGGGAAACATTTCAGCGAGACCGAGTTGAATTAAGTGACCCCTCCTACGTGGCCAACGAGTGGGAGGACCTGTCCAGCCTTCCGAATTAGGAGAGAGCGTCCATGTTCTCCCCTTGGCAGGAGACACGGGGGTCCGATATGAAAAAAGTGTGCAGGAGGCATTTCTCCTTTGCGTAGCCCCTTTCCAAGGTCGGGAAAATTGCCAAACAGGGGAAGTGATTCAGAAAAAAAAAAAAAAAAAAAATTAGAGCAGTTATGCGGTGTGGTACAGATTCTATGGCATGCGGCGCACTTGGTCTGCTAACCGTATGTTTGCTTTTTTTTTTTTTTTTTTTTTTTCATTTTAATTGCGAAGAAGAGGTGATATATCCCCCCTGAGTTATTAAATTGTGTGTACAGAAAAAAAAAAAAAAAAAAAAAAAGGCATCCTCTGCACAGGGACACATATGGAATGAACGGATGGAAATACAAGCTATTCAAAAAAGTTAAAGAATATATATTTTTTTTTTTTTTTTATAAATATTATCAAATCTGAGTTTTACTAAATCTTTATCCGACAGATAGGTCATAACTTTTGCAACGCTGCAAACTTGTCTTCTGATTTAACCGCACAGTTTTTGCGTCCGCTGCAATGGCCAAGATGTTCCCCCCCCATTCGTGTGGTAACCGCGTGGCAACCCCATGGCTCAGTCTCTTCCGTCACAAGACCTTAACATCGCGTCAGCCGACACGATAAAAATGGACGTCACAGCCGTTGCCGTGAATATGAAGCAACTGCATAGTGTCTCCGTCAAACTGCAAAAGATGTTCTTCTCTCTTGGTACTTCATACAATACATATCCTGAGTAGTACGCGGGGTACACGACGTCGTACGTGTAATATTCCTTGTAGTACATTGTGCTTTTATAGGTGGAAGTAAATTTTAGCGCAAGGCGTTTGGAAGGGGGGGGGGGGGGTTTCTTGCGTGTAATCGAGGGGATGTGTCGGTTGAAAATGGGGATCCAAAAAATTATGGCTTCTCTTCTGGAGGGCTCCTCTGCTGGGTTTTCGCAAGTTGTCAGGATTGTTCTCAAAAGGGGAGAAAAATAAGCGAAGAAAAACAAGGGAGGAAAAAAAAAGGGAAAACAGGATGAACAAATTGGACAACATCAAAATTGTGTGAAAAATAATTCTTCACTTTGTAGGAACAGTTACCAGATAGCCATTTGAAAAAAAAAAAAAAAAAAAAAAAAAAAAGTGTCTATTCTGCCTGAACAAGTCAGCACATTATCAAATAATTATCAAAAATTATCCAAAAATTGCTCTCTTTTTTTTTTTTTTTTTTCCACACGTGCATGCACATCAGATCTTTTCACTCTTTGGCTGTGCTCGAGACGAACTGAGGGGTGTGAAGAAGGGGCAGAGCCTCAACTGAGTGTCAACATACACACGCGTAGGGTTAGCCTAATTAACGAATAACCCGCACAATGCATGCGCTGTTGTTTTACACATAGAAAGGGAGGCACAAATAGGTAGACACACTTTTATGTTTCCCTCCCCTTGTGTGAACACGAACATGGAGGGAACAAAACGGTGAACATTTCAAAACGAGAGGAATCCCCCTTTTTTGTTTCCACTATAAAGTGGCATGGCTCGTTTGCTCCTTTTCTTCAACCAGCGGTGGAGAACAAAAAAAAAAAAAAAATGAAGTCACCTCTGATGGAGGAGGAACAAAATGGATAATCCGAAATGAGTCGTGTTTGCAGAGCGTGCTTGAGACGTGTTAGGAAATGTGGGAGTCCCGGGCGTCACCAAATAGCGTATAAAACACACGTACACGAAATGGACAAATAGATGGACGTACAGTTGGATGATCGTGCGAAGGCAAGAACAAACGAATGAACGAATTAGCGGACGCACCAGGGGTGAGTGGGGTGTTTGTGCCCAACACGCACTTCCTGTGGAGTTAAAATGTTAAAGCAAAAAAAATCATCATGGTGTAACGGGGTGATGATGGGCATTGACAACCCGTCCACGAGCAGATTGATTTGATAACCACGATGAAGGGGAGTTGTCCAGGGGAGAGATCTGTCTCCTTTCCTCCCTCCCCACCGTGTAGGGAACATATGCACGTTATGTGTAGTAAGAGACCATGCCCCTTTTACAACTTCACCTTTCCAATACAAAACAGGAATGGATTTATTTTCCTATTCCCCCAAATGTGCCATTGCATAAAATGATCTTCTTATGGAGTGTCATGGGGAGACGTGTCCCTCCTCTTGGCTTAATCCCTTTTCTGTGTCTTCTCCCTTCATGCTTGGTGGGGGGAAAGCCTTTGCTTTGAGCTTGTTTAAAAAGGGAGGCTTCACCTTGGTCATACATTTTGAGTCATTAACTCCATTAAATGGAGCAACTACAACTTTGGGGGGAATTTGGGGCCAAATTTTTACCATCGATTTGGGGGGAATTTTGGGCAAAATTTTAAACATGGCTTTTGGAGGCACTTTTTTCATTGGACATTTCTTTGTGTCGGACACGGGTCCACTACTATCACTATCATCTGAATTGTCTTTTTCTTCATTTTCGTTGTTTTCACTTGTGTGTGGGCGGTCTACCTGCTTGGTGGTGGTATCCTCCGGGGAGGTGTCTTTCACTGCCTCGTCTTGCGGGTCCTGCTCCTTTGCCAGAGAAGTTTCTTCCTCACTGTTGCCACCCTCGCTAGGACTACTCTCCTCTTCACCACTTCCCTTCTTCACCGGTACCCTTTTCAGGGGAAACTGCTTCATCGTGGACTTATGTTTGACGCTCTGCAGTTTTGCCATGAAGATGTTTTTGTATGGGCCTTCCTTCACCTGTCCAGCTGGTTCATTTTCCATTTGGGGTGGTAAAAGGGGGGCTCCCTCCACGACGTTCGTTTTGGGTAGCGCGGGGTCGTCCTCTCGTTTTTCCTCCATGTGAGTTTCTTCCCCGTCAGTTACTACTTCCCCTTTTTCATCTCCTTCGTTTTTGTTATCCTGTTCACCGTCCGTCTTGTCCTTACCTTCCTCGACTTGGTCCTCCTCTTCCTCCTGCGGAGACTGAATCTCTCCTCCTTCATCGCCGTTTCCCAAATCGCCATTGTTCTCCCCCAACTGTACTGCCTTTATATTTTCTAGTGGCCGTTTTAACATTAATTTGGCCAATCCGGCCTTCTTAACAAGGAGTTTTAGGATTGGCATCCTCTTTGGTGACTCATCGGCTGTGGTGGCACTAGGCGGGGGAATCTCCTTCTCCACATCGTTTGTACAGGGTAATCCATTTTGAACTTCGTTTTGCATCTCCCCCGTGGAATCCTCTGCAACGGCGTCTTCACCTGTGTTACCACTTGGAAGGGAGCAACCCTCCTCCCCCGATTTCTCACCCATCACACTGAACATTTGAACCACATCCATGGAGTTCCTTTTCTTCACTTCTATCTTTTTGGAAAACCTGTTCAGCGTCACTGAGTACCTTTTGCGTCCCTCGGCGGGGGGCACGTCGCTTCCAGCATCTCTACCAGCATCGCTACCAGCATCTTTACCAACCTCTGTTCCCTTCACCTGTGTACCCTTCTCCACATTGAACCCTGTAGGAGCGTCCCCCTCAATTATTGTCACGCCAGGTCCCATTCCATTTTTTTCATCCCTCGCATGCACCACCAAAGTGTCTACCCTCTCCAACATTTTTTGAATATTTTTCCTCACTGCATTTTCTATGAAGCCCCTGTCGCTTATGTTGTTATCTCCTTTGGGTGGTACCCCTTGGTCCGTTGTTGTCCCCTTCACGTCTTGCATGGATTGGACGGTGGGTTCGCTTCCTTGCGGTGGCACCACGTTCTCTTCTGCCTCTGCCCCAGTTAAGCACACGCTCGTCCCATCCGCACTACGAGCCCCACGGGGAACAGCCGTCGCTGCCTTTGCCTTCACAATAGCATTACCCTTTAAGGGGAATCCGTTCGGGGGAATCATCTTTTGAATAACAACTTTGCTCTTGGGGATGCCCTTTTGAATCGTCTTCTCCATCGGTGTGTTCTTTTCGCTGGCCTCTCCTCCCTCTTCATTGTCCTCCCCCGTCTGCACGTCTTCCCCCTTCTTCACCTCTACCCCCTTGGCAGATGGAGGACCATTGGGAAAGCGCTTCGCCAGCATCTTCCCCAGGAGGGCCTTCTTCATGAACATGGTGTTCATCTTCAACGGGACCTTGACGCTGGCCACCATTTTGTTCCCTCCTCCATTCTTCATCTCACTGTTGCAGGAGGAAGACGAGTGACCTTTCTCCACCTCTGCGTCCACTTTGTTTTCCTCTTCTTGTAACAGCTCCTTTGTGGCCTCCCCCTCATTTTCATTCTGTACTTTTCCTTTAGCTTCCCCACCAGAGGGGGGATCCATCTCGGCTTCATTCTCATCTCCTTTACTCATGCCCCTTTTGAAGCTTGGCGATTTGCTCAGTATGTTCGGGAATAGCTTCGAGGCATCCTCTTCTGTGCTCGTTTTTCCTTCCTCCTCATCCTCCTTTTCTCCCTTCGTGGAGTCCATCATCCCGTCCACCACGCCTGTCCCCCCCATTGAGGACGCCTCCATCATGTTCTTAACAAATGCTAGACCCCCCTCCTCTTCGCTCAATCCTGAGGTCTCCGTCACGGGTGCACTGTCCTTATCAACATCGTTGGGTTGCTCGTCCTGATTGACCAACTCATGAGGAGAGTTATTAATCTGGTCAAGTGTCGGAGCCTTTAGTGGAGGGAAAATATTCTTCCCTTCTAAAGCGTCTCCTATTGAGGAACTCTCCTTTGGCTCTTCATGTTCTGTCTTCACCTCCTTCGGCGCATCATCATCCATCACTTTGTTTGCCACTACAATGTGTTCCCTTTGGTCGTCCCCTACACTTCCCCTCCTACCATGACGTTTCTTCAATATGAACGAGCTTAGCTTCATAATAGCCGCAAGTTTTTTCTTTCTGTTTAACTGGGGGGAATCATGTTCTTTATTTTTACCCATGTGCTTATCACCAATGTGTGATGAATTATTTGTATAAGAGCAGCTTCCTTCATCCATGGCATTATCTTTCGTGGGATCCTTCACGGAGCCATCGACGCGTGTTGTTACGACAATGCTTTTTTCAATACACGATTCACTGTTGTCTTCCTCTGCATCATTTAACTTTTCTTCCATTGGGGCATTTTCTTTTTTCTCCTTTTGTTCTGGCGGGGAGGAGTCTCCTCCGGGTGGACTGTCCACAACGTGCTTGCGTGGCAGGGATGAAAAGTTCACAGAGGGCGGAAGAACTGTCTTCGCCGCTGCTACTCCTTTCTGTTGTGCCTCCTTCCCGGACCCATCCTTGTACCTCTTCGCAAGGCTGTCCTTGTACCTGTTCGCATTTTTCCCCTTCACGCTGACCAGATACTCCAAATCGTTCAAGTCGCTGTCGCTCATAACGGTCTCATCCATCGCGCACTGCATGTTACGTTCTGCGTTCGAGGCAGCTTCCAGATTAGGGGCAAAAATGTCATCGTTGTGGTGGTGGTTAAAACTGGACCCCTTCTTCCTCTTCCTCCTATACTCGTCCTTAATCATTTCCTTCATTATAAATTTGTTCCTTACGAACTCATCATCACAAGTGATGTCCATGATATCATCCTCCCTTGCTGTAGGAAGAGGATCCTCTTCCTCTGCACTTCTAACCCCTCCAATGGGAGCCAAATACTCAGTGGGCATTATTTTTCCTTTCGATGGAGAAGCCATACCACCCATGGTAGTAGCTGATGATCCCTTCTTCCCTCCTCTTATGTGTTGGAAGAGACCTTTAAAATATAATTTATATTGTTCATAGTTTGGGCTCTTCTTGGTGGGGCAGTTATTCTTTTGTTGAGTCACACATCTTCCTTGTTTCATATTATAAATAACGCTATGTCTCTCTTCCTGCTTTGTTCTACAAGCAACCACTCTCTGTGGTGATTGGATGACCACCTTTGGCTTCTTCAACTCCTTTAAGGACATTTTAATTTTGTTGAAGATTTTTCTTAGTGTCTTTTCCGATACCTCGCTACTGTTTAGCGATTCGGTGGTTACGTTTTGGCTAGCTCTCATGCTTTTTTTTTTTCCTTTTTTTTTTTGAATGACTTTGTTTTTGACTCTGAGGAGTGGGGTAGGACCCGCCCCGCTGTCTTTCACTTCAGGGCCGCTATTCGTTTGGTGTATATCGCATTTCACTTCTGTCCCCCCCTTTTCCCCGCCCCACAGGAGGTGATCCTCCTGAGCAACATCACTTTGATCATTCAATCGTTCGAAGGGGCTCTCCTCTAATTTGCCGCTACCCCTGCTACTCCCCTTCCTAACGGCGTTTCCGTGAAATTTTACCCCCTGGACATTCTGCAGGTAGTTCAAAAATTTGTTCATATATTCCTTGTCACCATTTACCTCTTCACCAAACACAGCATTAAGTGCTTCCTCCTTGTAATGCTCGCTTAGTTCTTCTCTCCTACTACGTGTTACTTTTTTTATATTTCCTTTTATCCTTAAGCGGACATTTTCATTTCTCATCATTGCGCCAAACAACTTCTTCTCACTTTTGCTAATTTCCTCTGCATTTTTTATGGCTGCCAAATTGGCCTTTACGCTTTCCTCCTTTTGAATAATTTGCTCGTCTAGCTCCTCGTCGTTTAGGCTTATAACTGTGATAAGACTGTAGTACCCCTCGTTCTTCCCCTTCACCAGCCCCTTAATTTTGAGCGATTTCATGGTGTCATAAGTGGGAGAGTATAATTCAAAGAGGGTTTTTTTTTCAAGTGGCTTACCGCTCCTGCCGTTTGATCTACACAAGTACACACACAAAAAATTTTCTCCATTCGCCCTTTAACTCGAAGCAGAGAGATTACTCCTCTGCGTTGTCGTTTGCGAACAGAACTATTCTACGCTTCTGCACAATGTCATTGTTTGTGCAGCACAGATAATGCGTTCCTTTTTATGCAGTTTTTTTTTTTTTTTTTTTTTTTGTGCTTAACCTTCTGCACTTTTAAAACCAAATGCAGATTTTTTCTTCACCAGGCATAGTTAATACTTAGAATAAAATTTTCTTTTTTTTTTTTTTCACTCCTGAGCGCAACGGTGACCTTTTTTTTCTAATGAGGTACAAAAAAGGAAAAAAAAAAAAAAAAAAAAAAAAAATGATGTCGTGTTATAGTGGGGTTGTTCATAAAAATAATTAATGCACACTTGTTCATTGGCGAGACGCGCACGT